TCGCTTCTATTTCGGTATTACTTAATGTTTAACCGGAGTTTCTCATGGAAGTGGCTATAATTTACATATCGGATTCCTTGTGAATAAAAACTAAATTAAAAATCCGATCGACTTAAGGAATTTTGAAAGCACCCCACAGGAACATTTTTTCCTATACTTCAGTTGGGAGCATAGGGCTCGCACATGATTCTAAAATACATAAAAATACCTAAAGAGGGGCTCAATCTATGTACAGATAGACCTATATTTATAATGCTGTCAGGAAGATTTGCCACTCAATGGGAACTCTAAATAGAATAGACAACTCGATGGAAAAATATTAAACTTCAAAGCTCTATCTCAAATATTGTCAACTCTATCGCCCGTCAAAGGTTATAAAATTGTATATACTTTATGGGGTCTCTGGTTAATATTTCTGGGTGTTACAAACATAATGACGAAATGATATACTCCTCGCTTTAAGATAGATGACTTTAAAATCACGTCTAAAAATATATTAGTAGACCCAAAAGAAAATAAAACTGAGCAAATCGTAAAGCTTAACAAAAAGTAAATACACATATCTCTGTCTACAATTACATTTACAAAAGATTGTATGATTGGTGCAGGTCTACGTTATAATTACCTAGTTTCGAGGCAAAGTAATTATTTATACTTTAGGAATTTATAATTGTTATACCTACACAACTATGTTGTCAGTGTGTTATAGCGTTGTGCAGCCTCAAGAGTTTGTAACGAAATATTGGTCCTAGACCCATCATTAAGTATACCGATCGTCATACCTCGAATAGCTGAGTAGATCCAGAAATGTTGAACATCCGTCCGTCTGTCCATTAAAATTTTTAAACGCGATACAGACCACTGTTATGAAAATTTTGTATGTAGGATAGGTACTGGCCAAAGATGACCCATATTTGTCTGTTTTTCTTTTCGCTCTAGAAGCCACAAATATGACTCGAACACCACGAAATTTTACTCAGGATCTGGCCAAAAAATAATGACAAATTTAATGACGTTCAGTCAATATTTAGCGGGACGAATGGACCCAGACTTTTGTGTAAAAAATTATAAAATCTGTATACTGCGCGTTTACTCCTGAAGGACATATACCCGTGAAGTTGAAATTATATCCCAGAGGAGTTGTTGACCTTTAAATTGATACCAATTATATTGTTGTATGTACTCGGATGTGGGAGTTGCAGGTAAATATTAAAAGGTGTGTATGTGTTATAATATTGTTTAGTATTAATTTTACCCCACTAGACTTTGAAATTGTACATAAAGTTTCGGTTATGGTCAAGGATGATCCCTATAATTTTTGGTTGTGTTTAGATGATATTTAGGGCGTGCAATGAACCGAAAGCTTTATTCTTGTCAGATTTTCTAGTCGCTCTACAGACCAAATACTTAGAACGGAACGTCTATATTTCGAGGGTCAAACAACAACTTAAACTTCAATGGTTTTAAATTGTGACAGAGAAACCAGGAAAGTTACCCTATAGATCAATCTTCAAAACTACCCGAACATCAATCTTCAAAATGTCTTCTAATGTTTCAAATTAGTCATTCAATTCGACACTTTGGGGGGCGGTATCAAAAGGACTGGATCGATAAGTCCCAATTTCGGACATGATCTCGGCTTGGTATTACTATGTGTAAAGTTCGAATGAGATTGTATACTTCGTTCGTTTTAGATAAGATTTAAAAGTTGACATTGAACGTTTGTGGGGAGGTACTAAAAGTAGTGGGCCGATAAATCCAATTTTCCAACATTACATACAAGCTTGATCAAAATATTATGTTGTGTACGATATTATAAATGTAATATTGAAAATTTTGTGTGGTAGGTACCAGAGTGGGCCGATATTGATTTAAGTTTGGAAGAAATATTACGATGTGCATATCGGTTACTCCCTTGGAGACAGGACAGACAGATGGACGGACATTTGTAAATGTACCCCATAATCTTAGCACAAAAAGCGCGGTATAAACAGAAAAAAATTAAGTGTTTTTGAAATTTCCATCTCTGTTATGAGCACATGTTAAATTTAGTTTCGATCTGGCAACTCCTTCATTTAGAAACAGGTGTTCAAAAAAGACGCATCAGCAATTTTTTACAATGAAAACACGCACTTCAAATTTTTCCATTGTAAAAAAATTGCGGATGCGTCTTTTGTTGAACACCTGCTTCTATATAAAAGAGTTGCCAGATCAAAACAAAATTTAACATATGTTCGTAACAGTGATGGAAGTTTCCGAAACACTTAACTTTTTTCTGTTTATACTGCGCTTTTTGTGCTAGGCTAAGAACTTTCCGAACTGCCTTCGTATGTAGAACTTGCTTATTTTACGGAATTTTTGTAACTTTCCAATTTGATTGTTGTTTGGTATTTTGTTTTCTTCTGGCTTAATTTTACCGGATTAACATCCTCTATGAAGATTTATTTGAAATATATGTAATGGAATTGATTATTTAAGTCTACTAGGTTTACTACATCCAGTACAATGTAAATGTAGTATATGATTTTAATTGCCAAAGCGATTTTGTACCCATAGAACAATAGTTCTGTTCTAGAACCTGAAAGTTTCTACTATTTTTACAGGTTTTGCAACTTTTTGCTCAAAAACCGTTCCTGAACCCGCAAAACTAGTAAAATTTTCAACCAAAGTAAAGAGAACAAAAAAACAAAATGGCGTTCTCTTTGTAAAGTTTTTACTCGAGAAATTTGGCCGAGTAAAAATGGTAAACAGGAATGCCTACTTCTAATTGGCTGTTGTGTTGATTTTGAAGTTATGTAATCTAATTTGGAAATATTTACTAGATTTTCGTTCCCGAACTTTTGAAAATATTTTGTACTCTAATAGTACGTTTACATTTAACCGGATTTCGTTAACCCAGTGGGTTTCAATTCCTTTGTATATACGTCAAATAAATCCTCATAAAGTAGGTTAACCCGGTAAAATTTTCTAATGTATATGTCGCTTAAGAGTGATTTTGACTTTACTCCCTTTTACTAGATTTACTATTAGGGCCGTACCTAAATTCATGCGTATGCGTACGAATTTATTCACCTCAAAAATTAAATACATGCATTTCAATGAATGTTACCCAAATACACAATGCGTATAAAAATATAAAGTTGAAAATTTTCAACATTGACAATGCGTATTTTTGAATTTTTGTTTTTTGAAAATAGAATTCCAGTCATTGAAAAGTTTGTTTTTCTATTAATGTAAACATTTTTCGATCAACTAAGAAATAGTTTTCATCCATTTTCGCCGTTTTCAATTGGAACAGATTCAAACAAAGTCCTTGCGTATTTGGGTAATACGGACGTCTTACAAACCCTATAAAGGTGAGAAGGTGAGTATTTTTGTACGGAGCGCAATAAATTAGGTACGACCCTTAACAACTTTACCTAAAATCCGACGGGGCGTACAAAAATATTCAACTTCCCCACTATTGCAAAATGTTGTGCACTGCCGTATTACCCAAATACGTCGAATCCATATCTTCAAGCAAATAATACAAACCGCAAAACAAAACTGAAAATTTATTAAATTAATCCACATATTTTTAGTTTCCATTCGAAATTTCAAATTTCCTGAATGTTTTGTTTTTATTTTCAACAAGAGAAAACAAATGAAAATGAAAATTTTCAACTTGAAATTTTGTACGTTCGACGTATTTCGGTAACATTCATATAAATACATGTGTTCTACTTTTGTGGTGAAAAACGTCGAACGAGCTAGTTGAATTTTAGGTAAGGCTGTAAAAAAGAACTGGAACAGACCAAATATGTCTTTCAATTGTCACTTGTACCTTTTACAAATAGGCCTTGTGTATTATTTGTCACATTTCCGTTTTCTTTTCAAAAATATGAAAACGTAAGTTATCTCCATGTTATTAATTTAAAATTAAACGACATTAACAAATGATTTCTTCTTTCAGAAATATAGAATTGCAACGAATGAAATCGACGAGCATATCTCACGATAAGGGACGAGATAGTAGACAAGGAGGTAAGTCTATAATCCAAAGCAATTTTGAACCTTTAAAATAGTTATTTATGTATATTTTTAGATTCCCCTAGCATTAATCCCGACAAGTTATATAATCCAGCAATTGAATATGATGAGTTAATGCTGAAATTTAAGGAAGAATTTAATAAAGTTTGGGACACACCAAGAACATCACCTGACAATGGTCTTGAGGGTTTTGATGAATTGGTTACCTTGGGGGCTGGGTCATTTGGTCGTGTGGTAAGAAACAACTTTAATAAAAAACTAATATGTACAAATATTTTCAACATAGATATTGGTTAAAAATCGTCAAACTGGTAATTATTATGCGGTGAAAATACTAATCAAAGATCAAATTGTGAAAACCAAACAAGTCACTCATGTTCACACGGAGAAAAGAGTTTTGGCTGCAATACGCTTTCCCTTCCTAATACATTTGGAATTTTCCTGCAAAGATTTTGATTACCTTTATTTGGGTTTGCCATTTGTAAATGGTGGCGAATTGTTTACTTATCATAGGAAGTGAGGGCAGAACATAATTCCTTTTTAATTCAATTCTTAAATAATTTTCTTAAAGGGTGCGCAAGTTCAACGAGAAGCAGGCGAGATTTTATGCAGCCCAAGTATTCATGGGTTTGGAATATTTACATGGCATGAGTTTGTTATATCGCGATCTTAAGCCCGAGAATATTCTTATCGATTCCAAGGGTTATATCAAAATTACAGATTTTGGATTTGCAAAGGTATTATTGGTTTTAACTCTTGTTTTTTTTTTTTCTTTAATAATGACCACAATTCTCTTTCAGAAAGTAGAAGGTCGCACCATGACATTATGTGGCACCCCGGAATATTTAGCTCCAGAAATCATACAATCCAAACCATATGGCACAAGTGTTGATTGGTGGTCTTTTGGTATATTGGTCTATGAACTTGTGGCGGGAAATTCACCCTTTTCACCACACAACAAAGATGTCATGATGATGTATACGAAAATTTGTGATGGTGAATACAAAATGCCAACATTTTTCAGTGCACCACTTAAAGATTTCGTCGATCATTTGCTGCAGGTGGATCTATCAAAGAGGTAATATTGCAAAGTGTTCCTAATTTTTTGTATTTAATTTGTATTTTATCTTTATTCCTTCTTTAAGATTCGGCAACTTGGTGAATGGAAACAAAGATATAAAAAACCATGCATGGTTTAAAAATGTAGATTGGTATGGACTGCTGAATCAAGATTTTGCAGCACCTTTCGTACCACGTGTTGCCAATATGGAAGATGTGTCAAATTTTGACAGATTTCCAGATCCGAAACCCTTGCACCGATCTAAAAATAATCGGCACGCAGAATTGTTTATTGATTTTTAAAATATAAATACTTATATTAACTACTAATGAAATATTGTTTAAAATAAAAATAGTAATTTTTCATCAACATGTAATATTAATTTTTTAAATGGAAGTACATAATGATCGAGTGAGATTAGAAGTTATGGATTTGAAGAAATATTTACCAAAAGTATATTAGATCTAAGCAGAACTTTTTTTATAGTTTTATGGAGTAGTAGAACATCGTCGTAGAAATACGACGATGTTCTTCAAGCAGGGTTTAAAATGCAGCATCAAAAAAATATTAGCATTAGCTTTACAGAGCTACTGCTAAAAAATATTAACATTATGACTAAATTAGCAAACGGTTAACTTTTTTAGTTCGTAGAATCCGTGCTAAGCACGTATTTCACATGCCAGCTTTTTTTGTTATGACTAATCGGCCATACGACTACATATTCATATTTCGCTGCCGACGAATAATCAGCCGAGGTTTGTTTTTATGTTTATGTGTTGCCAACGCAGAAATTAGAAAAAAGGCATTTACTTTTGTGTGTCGCTATTGAATTTAAACTTGTCAAGTCGTAATCAAAAACTGTCAATAATAGTTCTAAAATATATTTTATATATTAAAAAAAACCTTTGCAAGTATTAATAATTGTCTTTGTTCGAAAAAATGAAATTATCATAATCGCGATTTTTAATTCTCTCATGTAATTTATAAAATTTCAATGGGCAACACTGAACTCGAAAAATGCTCGGTTATCGTTTGCTAAAAATATTGCTAAGCAGCCACAGTCAAGGTAATTAGTCTTCATTGTAAGCTTTGGTTGTTAGTCGCGTTGTCAATTATGTTGTAGTTGTTCATTGCTATTTTGTAGCTGCTGACAATATCAAGAAGCTTTAGTTTTGCTTGCTAAAATTTTTTGTGATGTGTTGCTATTTGTTGCAGTTGTGCTTGGCTGTGCTGCATATTTTGAGGATGAATTTAGCTAGCAATGCGGCAATTTTCGGTGTTTTTGCTATTTTGACGTTAGCATTTTAAACCCTGCTGTTTACAAATATGTCCAAGTCTTATAAATAAAAGTGGAGCATTTCAATATATGTTTCATAAAATGTACACCTAAATATAATTATATTTTCGTCTGGCCAACTCATAACTGCATTGCAAATGTGACCATCGGCTAAACAAAGAACATTATTTCAAAATCATAATCAACACATTGTGGACATTGGGAACACCCGCTGTGAACGTGCACCATATTATGTGGACAATGTAATTTAAAATCAATGCAAAAATGGCAACAGCAACAACAAAGTCAGCAATATAAATTCTCATTTTGACAAGATGACACATTGACGGAAGGAAGGTAATAATTTCCACCTTTTGTTACATTCAATTGTTAAGGAAAGGGTTAAAAGTGCGTGAGGCTTTGTGAGGCAGAAGCGAAAGAAGTCAAGGTTGCAAAGTTAAACAAAATTATGTGAATAGAAAATAGATGTGGGTGATGATGATGCTGGGTTTGTTGGTCGGTCGATTGGTTGGTTGGGTGAGAAAACTGTTTTGTTTCATTTCACTCACCGTTTGAAGGTAACAATTCCGGGCCAAAAGGGTTTGCCAGTCACCAACACACTCACTGCGTCGTGTTCCAATGGAGATAAACAGAATATCGTCATGGAACAATTGTGATGCAACAAAAAACAACCCTCAATAATTTATCTTGCGTATATTTTTCGCAATGTCCGCCCTTTTGTTTCCGGTTCAGGCGTCTGACGTCACGCTCTAAAGTTATTGTTGCTTTTTCTATGACAAGGGATACCTTTGTGTGTTAGCCACACAACAACAACAAAAATCAAAATGACATCTTTCCAGTTTGGATTTTCATTGTTAGAGGCATCATCTGGATTAGTTACACCTTTTGATTTTGTACCCCCAAATGTTCATGTAGATTATATTGTGCGTGGTAGTAGCTGCAGTATAAAGGTAAGGGGATTGAAATAGGTTTAAGGTATTACGAATACAATGTTTTGAATAGAGCTGATAATTGTCAATGTCCTTTTTGTTAAAGGCATCAACAGGAGAAGTATGGGAATATTATACAAAAAAGAACCAGTGGTAGTCCTATAAAAATATAAAAGATCATGATTTAAATGCTAAAAAAGGAACTGAATAGGGGAGACTGGGGCACCTTCGGCATCGGGGCACCTTCGGCAATCGCGTTTTCGATATGAAGTTCTCACCGTACATCACTAGTTTCGATACATAGGTATCGAATATCGGAATAAATAACTGACACAAAGTTTGAAATTTCTAGCTAATAAGCTTATTCAGATACATAGGTTTCTGTATTTTTATAGATGTTTCTTTAATATTTCAATTCCATTTCGTAAGTATTTCGTGTATAAAACTTTTAAAATTTTTAAGACAATATTATTAAAAAATGGTTAACTACGATGTGTATTATTATAAAAATATTTAAAAATATAATCTTTTTACAAATCTGATCGAAAAAAATGAAAAAAACTATAAAAAGTACATTCGGGGTACATTCGGCATTTCAAAGTGGGGCACATTCGGCCATACACAGATTGTGCAATATTATTTACGTAAAAGGTTTTTGAGTTTGTTTTTAAAACTAATCCTTTAATATGGTTCGAAATTGCATATATAAGATCAAACGTGCTTGTATTGACGAAAATGCAATAGAAAACCCCTATTTCTGATGGTGTGTGCGACCTTGAGATGTAAACGTCCGCCGCTCGAAAATAAAGCCATATAATTCAAACATTGTGTGGCGTACTAAAACCTAATAGAGCCTTTAGAGGATCAGAATTTCAACCAGACTGATAGCGATGACAATTACCCGGCTATGACTATGGTGCCGAATGTGCCCCATCAAATGCCGAAGCTACCCCGGGTTGGGGCACATTCGGCGAATTTGACTTTTTTCAAAAAACTGTAAAATTTTTTAACTAATACTATTTTTTTATATCTTTTTGGTACTATTTTTTATAATTAAGTGTCAGAGGACAAAAATCAGCCATAAAGTTGTTAAATATGTTGAATAAGTACTGAGATATAGAGCTCTAAAAAAAAAGTGCCGAAGGTGCCCCAGTCTCCCCTAAGGGATAAGGGCTTCTACAGGAAGAATTCCCTACCTTGTTTGAGAAAACATTATGGCCTTCTTTGAGAAGACTTTCTGATATTCCAAGAGAAGAACAGCTGGACTTCTATAAGAAGACATCCATGTTCTACCTATTAGAATACCTCCGGGTTTTCAATGATAAAATGTCCTTCTGGTCTCTCGTGATAAGGCCTTCTGGTCTTCTATAAGAAGACCTTCTGGTCTTCTATAAGAAGACCTTCTGATCTTCTATAAGAAGACCTTCTGGTCTTCTATAAGAAGACCTTCTGGTCTTCTATAAGAAGACCTTCTGGTCTTCTATAAGAAGACCTTCTGGTCTTCTATAAGAAGATCTTCTGGTCTTCTATAAGAAGATCTTCTGGTCTTCTATAAGAAGATCTTCTGGTCCTCTATAAGAAGACCTTCCGGTCTTCTATAAGAAGACCTTCTGGTCTTCTATAAGAAGACCTTCTGGTCTTCTATAAGAAGACCTTCTGGTCTTCTATAAGAAGACCTTCTGGTCTTCTATAAGAAGACCTACTGGTCTTCTATAAGAAGACCTTCTGGTCTTCTATAAGAAGACCTTCTGGTCTTCTATAAGAAGACCTTCTGGTCTTCTATAAGAAGATCTTCTGGTCTTCTATAAGAAGATCTTCTGGTCTTCTATAAGAAGACCTTCTGGTCCGGTCTTCTATAAGAAGACCTTCTGGTCTTCTATAAGAAGACCTTCTGGTCTTTTATAAGAAGACCTTCTGGTCTTCTATAAGAAGACTTTTTTGTCTTCTAGAAGAATACATTCTGATCATCTATAAGAAGACCTTCTGGTCTTTTAGAAGAATACCTTCTGGTCTTCTAGAAGAATACCTTCTGGTCTTCCAGAACAATACCTTCTGGTCTTGTAGAACAATACCTTCTGGTCTTCTATAGGAAGACCTACTGGTCTTCTATAGGAAGACCTACTGGCCTTCTATAGGAAGACCTACTGGTCTTCTATAGGAAGACCTACTGGTCTTCTATAGGAAGACCTACTTGTCTTCTATAGGAAGACCTACTGGTCTTCTATAAGAAGACCTACTGGTCTTCTATAAGAAGACCTACTGGTCTTCTATAAGAAGACCTACTGGTCTTCTATAAGAAGACCTACTGGTCCTCTATAAGAAGACCTACTAAGACCTACTAGAAGAATACCTTCTGGTCTTTTAGAAGAATACCTTCTGGTCTTCTAGAAAAATACCTTCTGGTCTTCTATGAAGAAGACCTTCGGGTCTTCTCTGAAGAAGACCTACTGGTCTTCTATAAGAAGACCTACTAAGAAAACATCTCTGTCTTCTATACGAAGATCTCTCTGCTCTCCTCCCTGTCTTCTGTAAGATGACGTTATCGATTTCAATAACTCGGGGTTCGGTTCTCCTAAAAGAAAACGTATTAAACGGCATTCTTGTCATCTAAGGATTTTTATAAACCGGCTTCTGGTCTTCTAAGAGAATACCTTCTTAATAAGACTTTCTGGTCTTCTATAGGATATATTCCTGGTCTTCTATAAGAAATCCTTCCAGTATTCTTTAAGATTACATATTAGACTTCTAAAAGAAAGCCTCTGGATTTCTACGAGAAGGATTTCTGTCTGTTTTTATAAAAAGAACTGATATTATGAAAACCTTCTGGTCTTCCATAAGAAGACCTACTCATATTTCATCTGAAGATCTTTTGGAAAATTATTTTCTATACATTTATCTCATATGTATTAAAAACAACTACACACCAGAAACCTTTTAACATAATTACTAAAGTCTCTGCAATTTGTCCAAAAATGAAAAAAATGTGGTTAGATTTAATATTAATACACCTCGATAATCTTGAAAAATATTCAAAATATATTTTCTAATATTTGTCATAGATAAACTTCATGCCACT